GTCTTCCGTGTCTTCTATTCGAGGTCCTCTCTCTATAGCTGGATCAGGTCCGCTGAATGGAGGCTCGGGAGTTTCGGTGACACTATTACTAAGTACAACTTCCTATGACGAATCGCCCTGAGGTTACGGAGATTCGAGCTTTTATACTTTTTCGTGCGAGAGCTGACACGTCATCGATTCTTGTTGATGATGACGGTGCATTTTTCACATCTAACTGGAAACTTCCTCAGTGAGTTGTGATACAATCGGTGAAATCCAATCTAGTACAAAATCTTCGGGTTTTTCCCGAAGTTAATTAACAAGAAAATTTAAATTTTTAAAAGACCCGCAAAAATCCGCGGGCTCACAACAATATAGCATCTATAAGTTATAAATTATCATATTAGGATGTAAAATGCTTGATACTTCATTTTCTGATCACTAGAGATAGGACATCCAGAAACTAAAAATCATATCTGTTATTAACTTATGTGGTTTTTTAGTGCCTAGATGTTCTTGCTTTATTGATCACTAAACAGTTAACATAGTTAAAGCCAAACGATTTTCAAATTACATCAGGCTATATTACTACTACTATTATTAATTAAATGCTAAGTAATTTGGAACTAGAGGTAGGCATTGGGTACAATCTCTTGTTAAATTTAATAATAATTATAATTATATCAATATTTTAATAATTAATTCAGAAGGTTCTGGAAGAAAAGAATTGGCCTGAAACAGGACTCAAACCATCAACTTCTTTATACCATGCAGTTGCATTGCAAATTATGCTATCCAGACTTTCATCTGATTCTCCCTTTGATTATATCTAAATTAATAAGTTGTTATACTTGATTACTTACAGTGCCAGCTGGAAATGACTCAGTGTGTATAGTCTATAACTCCCACTATGGCACTCGGCTAGCTACCACATCTATCTTGGCATAGTATCTCCAGAACCTTCTAAATTAATTATTAAATNTGGGGCGTAAATATCTTAAAAAAGTAAGATATTATATTTTCTAGGATAATTCAATAAAATTACTTTAGAAATAGAATATACTATGATCAAATGAAAATATAACAACTCACACTAAGGTGAGGAGTTTGGTGACACTGTGAATCAGACTTCATAATGCCATGAGTTGGCAGTACAGCAAGCTTGGCTAATTCATGACATCACCAAACTTCTTGCACTACTTCTTGCACTATTGTCATTTGATCACATAGTAGTAATAAACACTGCATATATTTAATAATTTGAATTTGAAATGTTTTCAAGGATAATAATAAATAATTTTAATTTATAAACCAAACAATACATAGTCTTAAGTATTCACGCTATAAATCCACTAATTTTAATAGTTAATACTAAGTAATTTGCTACTAGCCATGTAAGGTTATATCTAAATTTAAATACATCTGGAAGTGAAAGGTTTGCTTGTTGGGGTCCACATGGTGCAACTGGCAAGTGCACTGCACGGCAAGCAGAGGTTGCTGGTTCAAGCCCTGCCCCAGACCAGTTTTTTTCTTCCAGATGATTCTAAATTATTATTTAAAAATTATAATTATTAATTTAGATAAGAGATGGCACCTAACATCTACCTCTAGTAGCAAATTACTTAGTATTAGGCTATAAATCTGCTAATTTTAATAATTGAGTATTTAAGATGATTGTTTGGCTATACCTATGTATATCTATTTTTAATTTAATTTATAAACATCATTTTGATAAAATTAATTATGTATTACTTTTACTTAGGATGAAGCAAAAAGGAGTTTAATGAGAGCATTAATAACAGGGTAAATAATTTTGTTTCAAAATCAAAATTTTGAAATAAAATTATTAACTTAGTAAATTGATTATTTTAGCATATGTTGCTATAGTGTTAATTTTTAATTTTACAGACCAGAAGGATCACCTTTTTCCAATGGCTGTTTTCAGTTTGATATTTATTTCCCTTCAAAATATCCTGTAAAACCACCTAAAGTTAATTTCAGAGTAAGATATAATGCATATTTTTATTTCAAAACATTGAATTTCAAATTTTTTGTTCCAGTTATGAAATAACTAATTTTTTTCTGTAATAGACAACTGGGAAGAAAAATGTCAGATTTCATCCAAATTTACCTGTGTAAGTAAAAATTTAAAATAATTGCACATAAGTGTAGGAATACGTCCAGCAGGTCTGACAGCAGCTGGATCAATATTTTAAATACAAATACAATTTATGTATATGATAACTTTCAGATATGTAGTATGTTTTATTTGAAACTTTTTCTTTCTCAAGATTCAACTCCTCTGGATATTTGATAGAGATGTCAAACAAACATAAATAATGGCATTCCTCTTTGATTCTCTGTTAATATAATAAGTATTAAAAATAAACGCCTCACTTAAAGAAATCTTACATAAAACTTCTTTAAGTGAGGACTTTACTTTTTAATATTTTTTGTAATTGAGTATTAAATTATGAAACTCTGTATGTTACTTAAAGTATATAAGAATGTCTTTCTATAATATTGTCTCATTGCAATATAATGCAATTTCAAATGTTCTTATGTAAAACTATTTTAAGAAAATTATTAGCATTGGATTTCTAGAAATGTTTTAATAGTTTTGCAGTTGAAATTATATTGAAACTGTTAATTTGTGTGCTTTATTTCTGTTTCTTTTCTACTCCATAAATAATTTTTTTATAAAATTAAGATTATAATACTTTAATATGTAATAGTGATAATATTAATAATAAATAATAGATTAGATGGGAAAAATTCATTTAAATGTTAGGCACATTTCCTAGAAAAGCTGCTTTGTTAAGACAGTTAAGCTATTTCCATTTTAGCTGTTGTAGTGCTAGTGCAGCAAGGTTCACAAGCACAAAAGACAGAAGTTAAGATGACTGCCACCATAAATTATACACATACTATGTACTGTACATTCAAATGAATATTGTGCCATTCAAAAATATATTTTAAACTAGTTATCAGAAAAATTCAAAAAACAGTTTTCCACATAATCTTCTACTCTGACACAAATATAAGGACATAAATCTTAATGTCCTTTCAAATGTTTATGTCAGAGTTAAGACCTCTGTTTGGCAGGAATAAAACATGATAAGGGCATATTTGTGAAGCTTTGCTAATAATATTTACTGTAATACTTAATTATTATTATTATTGTTATTATTACATAATAATAAAGTATTAATTCTACTTATTTCAAAGCAATTTTGAAACTTGATGGCTATTTATATTTTATAATATATATGTTTTATATAATATGGTTTATATTGTAATTAAAAACAGACATAATACATTATATATATAATGTTTGTTTTTAATTAAAATTGTGTTGAAAATTAATTAAAATTAGTTATGTAAATATTTAACACAAATTATCTCAATTACTATCATTATTATTTTATTAATATCAATTGCCTTAAATTTTAAGCAAGTGATAGGATTTCAATACAAAAATATTTTCTTTTACACAAGTACTTATATTTATTGCATGTTATATATTTTCAGAAATGGCAAAGTAATTCACCCATTACTGAACAAAGAAACACAAGATGAATTTTGGCAAGAGAACTGTTCTATATTACAGGTAAAAAAGTAATTCAAATTATCTAAAGCAAAAAAAAATTATTTATAAAAAAAAAATAAAGAAATTTTTATTTATTTTATAACAGTTTGAATTTTTTCAGTTATAAAATATTAGATAAAATTTTACTTGGGCATTCCCTATGGTAACAGGCACAGCTACTAACTACACTGGCATTCAAATAAAACAAATTTCACTCACCATTGACATATTTCTAAAATTTTAAATGATTTTGAAACTAGAATACATGATGTAATAGTTTAAGCTGACTGCGACATCTATTATAACTATTATAAGACTCATGTCGAGATTCAGGAAGTGATGCCATAAGGAATACCTAAGTAAACTTCTACCAAATATTCTAATTTATGATCAAATTATCTTTTAAAAAATTCTATAATCTTAGTACATAAAAAATACTATATGTATTTATGATGAACAGTTGAAATTCATACAATAAGATTATTTGTTTATCAGTATATAAGTTAAAAAAACAATATTCAATTAAACTACAATGGTAATAATATAAAAGTTTATCATTTTAATGCTAAGGCTTATATATCATCAGTAAATAATTATTCTAAATAATTTTCATTTTGTGAGTGGATGTCACTTCTTGGTAATTTTTCTCTATAGCCAAAACTATCAAGAATTAATCATCATGCTTTTACTCTCTGTAGCTTTTATAAGCACTGACCTCTTCAAAAAAAAAACAAATTAAAAGATGATTATTTATTTTTAAAATATTATTTATTGAAAATGTTTGAATTCATAAACAAAATATATGGGAAAAAATCAGTTAATAAAATATAACAACACTTATGACTCCTGTAGTTTATTTTTTTGAACTTACCAAACTACTAATTCAATTGCCTTTTTGTCCTTATTTTATACTATTTTATTATATTATTGTCTACTAAGGACTTATTATACTGGTGTTCCAATTTTTGCAAAAGGAGAAGTTGGAACACCAGTATCACCTGGTATTTCAGGTGAAAAATAAAGATTTGTTTTTTCTGAATAAGAATTTCTCCTTTTGCAAAAATTGGAACACCAGTATAATAAGTCCTTAGTAGACAATATTATAATAAAAAAAATATTACCAAACTACTGTTTATAACTGTCAATAATACAGCTGATGCATTGTAGCATGTGCTGTTATTCATTTCAAACTTAATGATATCTCAATTATTTTTATTTTTATCTTCTATAATAAGTATAGTATTGCTTCACAAAACAGCTTAAACCTTTCTAAATAATATAAACAGTTTCAATTTTTCCTTATGTTAGAATAATTTAAAAGACAGTTGTTATAAACAAACAACTCTACACAAACCTGATACATTATAATCATAAAACCAACCACTGCCATATGCCATCAGGCTATATAACGGCTATATTAGTAATAAATTACCAAACAATTTGACCCTAGAGGGAGGCATTAGGTGCCATCTCGTTATAAATTTAATAACTATAATTTTGATTAAACTGGAAGAAAAGAATCGGTTTGGAGCAGGACTCAAACCTCAAACTTTTCTTCCAGTTTAATCACAATTATAATTATTAAATTTATTACAAGATGGCACCTAACCCCTCCCTCTAGGGTCAAATTGTTTGGTAATTTATTATTAATATAGCCATTATATAGCTTGATGACATATGGTAGTGGATGACTTTGTGACAGTGCCGAAGGGCCCCACTCTATGCTTCGGCACCACAGGACCGAAGGGTCAACATTGCGTCAGCGAAGACGGCAATGACAAATTTATCAGGACTGACACCACTGTGTCTTCTGGGTAGACACAGAGACCATTACGCTCGAATTTACGCGCGAGCAGTCGCGTATGTGGACTCTTAGTTCCGAGATGGAGACGTAAAGAGAGAATCAGAGGAATTACACTCTATAAATTGTATATACATAATGCCCGTTTATTGTTCTATTTAAGCTATATACAATTGATTCAGTTAACATATCTACTTCTTTCCCGATTACCTGTATTTATGAGAGAGAGTTCACATTTAATTCACGCGAGGATAAATACCTTGATATAAGTTGGCAAATAGTCGTTTAGTCCTCGAGTCTCTGTGTGGCACAAAGTTCTTTCGAACGTCGATATTTCTTTAGGCGGTGATTCTCCCGAACGGTGGCGATTAGAATAGTTTCGGGTAGCGGCTAATCCGTTCACGTAAATCCACAGTTCACACCAAACTCCAGAGACTGACTCTTTGCCGCATCGACCCCTCTTTTTATAAAGGGGGTTGTCTTTGGGTTTTTCCCACTGCCTCCATCCAATTGTTGTTTTCTTTCGTCTTTTCGTAGATTCCGGGTGACACATTGGATGTATCATCCTCATCTCGGAATTAAGTTCATGGGAAAAAAGTTTTATGTTCTTTTTAAATATCGGTTTGTTGTTTATTTCTCTAAACTGTTCTTCGTAAAAAATATTTAACAATTTATTCCAATAAGTTTGACTCTCACAACTTTATGACAGTTATTATAACTGATATATCTTTTCATTGTTAGACAGACAGGAATTGCTGCAAGGTACTAATTGCTCTAATATTATGCTTATTGAAGAAATGAGATGATAATTACTTCAGATTTATAAATAAAAATCATTTATAATTTTAATTTTTTCCTTATGTATAAAAAGTTAATCACTAAATTTTAATTAAGTTATTTTATCCTTTATTTTGTGCATATAACCTGCAATTTGCTGTGGGAGTATAATCCACAGAAAATTGCTACAATAAAAAATAAAACTTTCTGATAACCTGCCCTACTGTTTACTCCATGCCTGCGGGAGCAATCATTGCTTCTTAAGTGTAAGTTCATTATTACAATTTAAAATTGGTGTATAATCTCGTCTTAAACACCAGATAACCTGTTATATACACAAGAATATGGTAAGACAAGATGTTATTGTTAAATTTAAGTTATTGACTTAATATGTAGATTCACTCTACAGAACTATTGACTTATTCATGTAGCACTGAGAATGTATTTGAACTTGTTCAGTGATATGAACTTATTTGGTGAGATTATTTATTGAATCACATGATAACTTTGAATATGTTCATTTTGCTACATAGATAATCCAAGACTAAATACCAGTTCTTAGTTTGCATTTCACTACAATGTAAACAATTTTAGATTAAGTTCAATATCTTGTATAACAATTTATAAAGTATCCATGGTAAACTTCAAATTTATTATTATTATTATTATTTTGCATTCTACTTTTTATGTTTTAAAATATTACATTTTAAAGAAGTATCTTATTGCATAATATTACACAGCAATCATGAGCTTGATAATATCATAGTTGACATAAAATTATTACACTGTATTTATATATTTGAAGCAGATCTCAAGAAAATTGACCATCTCTAGCTGCAAAAGTTTAAGAAAGACTACTACATAATAATAAAGAGAACATTATATATTTTATATGTAATTTTAATATATTGATTTAATAGTTTTATAATCAGCTTTTTGAAAATTATAGGTTTTAATAGAAATGCAGAATTTATTGAAGACAACAGATCCAGTTTTTTTTGAAAATTTACATCATGTGTTAATTGGAACTCATTTGGGAAATTGGTTAACTACTACCTACAATAAAAGTAATTAATATTTAAAATTAGTTTTATTATTATTATTATAAATTTTGATGGACAATACATTTAAGTGTACTAATTTAGATACTGAATTAATAAAAATTTATAAAATAAGAATAAAATGGAATAAAAGAAAATAAATTCACAACTTAGAAAGCAACTCCAGCAAAAATTTTAATGAAACAAAAACAGTTTCAACCTAATTTGATAGGTCTTCTTAAGATAAGTATTCCAAAATAGAACATTCAATAAAAATAGAAGATAGTTGAATAAAAGTTTTTGTTTTATTAAACTTTTTGCTGAAATTGATTTCTAAGGTTAAATTTATTTTTTAACATACCCTCCAGTTTCTGTATTTTGTTAAAATGGAGTAAGTTTCTATGGTAGTTAGTTAATTAACTTTAATTTAAACAACTACAGCCATCTCTGACTTAACATCAGTAATCTGTTCCTGAAAATTAAATATTCTGTATGAAAACATTAACTGGGACTCTATTCCCCATTATTTTAAATGTATAAGTTATAATGCATTAAATTTGAATCCAAAATTCAACTAATTCACAATGTGAGATAAACCGCGGGTCAGGGATCAATCTCCCACTGACCACTTACTCGGCAACAGGTTGATAAAACCCGATCTCGGCGTCGTCGGATGGCTAGGAGGGCAGTTCGAGTGGGGAGGGAGGTGAGCAAGTTGATAGGCGTCCTTAAATGACAGGAAACAGGTTTAAAACTAAACAAGCATTTATTATATACTCAACTAAGCACTACAAGAGGTTAAAAGCGGTTATCTCTACTATTTACATAAATTCGAGCACGAATTTTCGAGTTCGAGAGAGAGCGCTTACAAATCCTATATACCCCAAAATACCTGTCGGTGGCAGGGCGAATTGGCGAACGTTCAGGGTGTGGTGTCTTCCGTGTCTTCTATTCGAGGTCCTCTCTCTATAGCAGGATCGGGTCCGCTGAATGGAGGCTCGGGAGTTTCGGTGACACTATTACTAAGTACAACTTCCTATGACGAATCGCCCTGAGGTTACGGAGATTCGAGCTTTTATACTTTTTCGTGCGAGAGCTGACACGTCATCGATTCTTGTTGACGATGACGGTGCATTTTTCACACCTAACTGTAAACTTCCTCAGCGAGTTGTGATACAATCGGTGAAATCCAATCTAGTACAAAATCTTCGGGTTTTTCCCGAAGTTAATTAACAAGAAAATTTAAATTTTTAAAAGACCCGCAAAAATCCGCGGGCTCACAACAATATAGCATCTATAAGTTATAAATTATCATATTAGGATGTAAAATGCTTGATACTTCATTTTCTGATCACTAGAGATAGGACATCCAGAAACTAAAAATCATATCTGTTATTAACTTATGTGGTTTTTTAGTGCCTAGATGTTCTTGCTTTATTGATCACTAAACAGTTAACATAGTTAAAGCCAAACGATTTTCAAATTACATCAGGCTATATTACTACTACTATTATTAATTAAATGCTAAGTAATTTGGAACTAGAGGTAGGCATTGGGTACAATCTCTTGTTAAATTTAATAATAATTATAATTATATCAATATTTTAATAATTAATTCAGAAGGTTCTGGAAGAAAAGAATTGGCCTGAAACAGGACTCAAACCATCAACTTCTTTATACCATGCAGTTGCATTGCAAATTATGCTATCCAGACTTTCATCTGATTCTCCCTTTGATTATATCTAAATTAATAAGTTGTTATACTTGATTACTTACAGTGCCAGCTGGAAATGACTCAGTGTGTATAGTCTATAACTCCCACTATGGCACTCGGCTAGCTACCACATCTATCTTGGCATAGTATCTCCAGAACCTTCTAAATTAATTATTAAAATATTAATTTAATAATAATTATTAAATTTAGCAAGAGATGGCACCTAACACTTGCCTCTAGTGGCAAATTATTTAGCATTTAATTAATAATAGTAGTAGTAATATAGCCCAACATAATTTGGCAATTGTTTGGCTTTAATATATAACTATCAAGTTGGATGTTTATATTTGCAGGCCTTGGAATGGTTCACTATTCTCACTATTTTTAAGTTAGTCACTCTTTCTCACTTTTTCTGCCATTGTGGGCAATGAAATTTTTGTGACACCAAGCAGTCACATGTTACTTCATTAATTGATGTTTAAATACTTAAATTGCAATGCCCATAACACCTTTTTCTTGTTGCATGTTGAAAACTTCATGTTATTACATGACTTTTGAGGTCTTAAAAATATTAATTACACAATATCATAAATTTGAGTGTGCACAGTCTAACATCAACAAATTTTTTCTCAATATACAGTATTTTAATTCTTCCAAACCCCTCACAATTAACATTCACACCTTCAATTTGAGGGCAGGTGTTAATAAACAAGTGTAAAAATGAAAACAAAGTGCAAAAATTGATAAATAGAGTTCTTTTAAATTATGTTTATTTTTGTTTTAATAATTTTGATAGTGTAACAATATTACTGATTAAATTTTTTTCAACTTTAGAAATTTTATAAAATATTAACAAAGTTTATTAAGGGACAATTTAATAAATTTATAACTTTGTAACAAATTACAGGATTTATTGATGAATAATAAATAAAAACAGTGTTTTTATTATTTATATAATCAGAGCTAGTTATGTATATAACATGGAAAAATATTGGAATTGTATCAGATTTGATCCTCCAAGTTTTTTGCAAATTTCTGCATTTTGAGACCTCCTGAAAAAAAAAAATTCATGTGTGTTGGTGTCTATTTATATTTGAGTCTTTGCTATAAGGCTGCATTTATGCAAATGCGAGAAGAGTGAAAAACAGACAGAAATGAACTTTTCACATTTTCACACCAGAATTTGCAATCATGACATTGTTTATGCAGAAGCAAGAAATGCACATGAGCATCAGGACCCTGAGCAAGCATTAATTCTAAATTAGTCACTGTGGCAAACAATGCCAATAGCTGAAAGCTCGTTTTGTGGTATTTTCTGGTTATAATTACAAATTATGATTGTTTTATTCATAATTATTATTAGTTATTGTCCTTTAAACAAAAGAAAACATTATCAAACTAAATTATATCATCAAATGAAACAAAACCCATAAAAATAAAATAACATTTGAAGTTGACTCCTTACAAATAATATATATTATCATGGCCAACTAATTTTATTTCAGTCACTGATTAGTCACTTTTTCCGTTTGGAGTTATTATTCTCACTTATTTTTTGAAGTCATTTTCTGTTCCAAGGCCTGTATTCATATAGTTAATATAGTTGCTAACACGTTGTGCATATTACTGCATACAAAGTAATTATCTGCTTGCCACACTATAAGCATTATATTTATAATATAGCATGATAAATAACACAAAACAATAAAGAGTTTTGTTTTAAATTGCAGACAAAAATTTATGATAATAAACAGCACATTCTTAGCAATTTCTCTGACACTTCTATAATTAGAGAGTTGGTGATGTTATGAAAGCATGTTTAGGCTTTCAACTATTGGAGGTATTGGTATATGTCATTATGATGCCTCTTTCAGTGCTAGCTATATTTGAGATGTAAATTTCTTTTCTTGTCACTTGAGGCACTTTCAAAACATCTACATATGGTTCTAATTAATTGTATTTGGAATGTAGCTTCAAACTTCTTGCACATAAATTTTGTTAAAGATATATTAACATCCTAAAAATTTAATACAAAATATTCTTATATAAACATCACCCAAAAAATAGTTTCTTTGAAAAAGATGTTATCTCTCAAACTCTGTCTGAGAGTTTACATATTAAAAAGTAAAAAATGTTCTACCTGGGAAACATTAAGCAGGGAATGCCTGTATTTAAAATTCTCTCTGTTACAATTTTATAGTTTCAGAATTTTTTTTTTTTTTGTTTTTTATGTATTTTAACTAAACTTTCATTTTCTAAGATTCATTTAAACAATGTTGAAAAATTATCAAAAATAAATAACTTCTGACTTGTTCAAATGATAAATAATTGCATGTAATGCTAATTGCATAGCATGTTTTAGTTTTTCACTTTATTTTATACATGAGTAGATTTAAATCTATAGTACTTTTAATTTACTTTTATAGTACAGTGGAACCTCGGTATACGTCTGCTTTAGAATACGTCCAATTCGGAATACGTCCTATTTTGACGAAACAAATTTTGCTCGATATACGACTTTTATTCGGTATACGACTTAATTCAATTATATGCGCCATCTATGAACAAGTAGCATTATCGGTGTACTACACTAGACTAGACATTCACGGTGCTACGGTTTATAACTTTGTTAAATTTCTTCTGATTTTAATTTATAAGTAACATTTTATTATTTTTATTAATCATGAATTGCAAAAGGGCAACAAACAAATAAAGAAATGACTAGAATCACAACGGAACTGAAAAAAGAGATTGTTGAGAAATATGAAGGTGACACGCGTGTTCTAGATTTAACGAGATTTAACTGTAGCATTCCGTATTTCGAAAACGACGATATCGACAATCGCAAAAAATACATTATTAAATTTGCTAATGTTGCGAAAGGAGTTAAATCAATTTCTAAACAGAGATCGAAGACTTTAGATCATGTCGAGAAATTGCTTTTGCTTTGGATAACTGAAAAACAGTGCTGGAAACAGCGTATTGGAAGAAATTATTTGCGAGAAAGTTAAAAGGATACATGCTGATCTCATGAAAAATCAAGCAGAAACTAGCAAGGAAAGCGAAGTGTTTAAAACCAGCCATTTTTTTTTACATGAGAACGGATTAATCATTTTTACATTACTTCTTATGGAAAAGGTTGGTTTGGTATACGTCCTATTCGGTATAAGTCCAAACACCAGGAACGGATTAAGGTCGTATACCGAGGTTCCACTGTACTTTNAAGGATAATAATAAATAATTTTAATTTATAAACCAAACAATACATAGTCTTAAGTATTCATGCTATAAATCCACTAATTTTAATAGTTAATACTAAGTAATTTGCTACTAGCCATGTAAGGTTATATCTAAATTTAAATACATCTGGAAGTGAAAGGTTTGCTTGTTGGGGTCCACATGGTGCAACTGGCAAGTGCACTGCACGGCAAGCAGAGGTTGCTGGTTCAAGCCCTGCCCCAGACCAGTTTTTTTCTTCCAGATGATTCTAAATTATTATTTAAAAATTATAATTATTAATTTAGATAAGAGATGGCACCTAACATCTACCTCTAGTAGCAAATTACTTAGTATTAGGCTATAAATCTGCTAATTTTAATAATTGAGTATTTAAGATGATTGTTTGGCTATACCTATGTATATCTATTTTTAATTTAATTTATAAACATCATTTTGATAAAATTAATTATGTATTACTTTTACTTAGGATGAAGCAAAAAGGAGTTTAATGAGAGCATTAATAACAGGGTAAATAATTTTGTTTCAAAATCAAAATTTTGAAATAAAATTATTAACTTAGTAAATTGATTATTTTAGCATATGTTGCTATAGTGTTAATTTTTAATTTTACAGACCAGAAGGATCACCTTTTTCCAATGGCTGTTTTCAGTTTGATATTTATTTCCCTTCAAAATATCCTGTAAAACCACCTAAAGTTAATTTCAGAGTAAGATATAATGCATATTTTTATTTCAAAACATTGAATTTCAAATTTTTTGTTCCAGTTATGAAATAACTAATTTTTTTCTGTAATAGACAACTGGGAAGAAAAATGTCAGATTTCATCCAAATTTACCTGTGTAAGTAAAAATTTAAAATAATTGCACATAAGTGTAGGAATACGTCCAGCAGGTCTGACAGCAGCTGGATCAATATTTTAAATACAAATACAATTTATGTATATGATAACTTTCAGATATGTAGTATGTTTTATTTGAAACTTTTTCTTTCTCAAGATTCAACTCCTCTGGATATTTGATAGAGATGTCAAACAAACATAAATAATGGCATTCCTCTTTGATTCTCTGTTAATATAATAAGTATTAAAAATAAACGCCTCACTTAAAGAAATCTTACATAAAACTTCTTTAAGTGAGGACTTTACTTTTTAATATTTTTTGTAATTGAGTATTAAATTATGAAACTCTGTATGTTACTTAAAGTATATAAGAATGTCTTTCTATAATATTGTCTCATTGCAATATAATGCAATTTCAAATGTTCTTATGTAAAACTATTTTAAGAAAATTATTAGCATTGGATTTCTAGAAATGTTTTAATAGTTTTGCAGTTGAAATTATATTGAAACTGTTAATTTGTGTGCTTTATTTCTGTTTCTTTTCTACTCCATAAATAATTTTTTTATAAAATTAAGATTATAATACTTTAATATGTAATAGTGATAATATTAATAATAAATAATAGATTAGATGGGAAAAATTCATTTAAATGTTAGGCACATTTCCTAGAAAAGCTGCTTTGTTAAGACAGTTAAGCTATTTCCATTTTAGCTGTTGTAGTGCTAGTGCAGCAAGGTTCACAAGCACAAAAGACAGAAGTTAAGATGACTGCCACCATAAATTATACACATACTATGTACTGTACATTCAAATGAATATTGTGCCATTCAAAAATATATTTTAAACTAGTTATCAGAAAAATTCAAAAAACAGTTTTCCACATAATCTTCTACTCTGACACAAATATAAGGACATAAATCTTAATGTCCTTTCAAATGTTTATGTCAGAGTTAAGACCTCTGTTTGGCAGGAATAAAACATGATAAGGGCATATTTGTGAAGCTTTGCTAATAATATTTACTGTAATACTTAATTATTATTATTATTGTTATTATTACATAATAATAAAGTATTAATTCTACTTATTTCAAAGCAATTTTGAAACTTGATGGCTATTTATATTTTATAATGATTGTTATGGTATCTCCTGTGATATTTGTCAATATTTTAGCATTGTTTATTTGTATTTAATAATTGAAAATAATTGAAATATTTGAGGCAAAGTAACAGTAAACCATATTTGAAATAAGTCATTGTTGCTCTAATTTTTTGTACAGTATATTCCAGCATATAAGACGACTTTTTAACCCAGGAAAATCTTCTCAAAAGTCAGGGGTCGTCTTATAGGACGGGTGCTGCAGTTGGCTGGGATGCCTGGCATGTGGATAGAGATAGAGCGGCGCAGTGCCCAGAAAAACATGCATCTTTCACCCGTCCAGCCCATCTTTGTATATATCCTATTACCGTACATCTTCTCTGCCTCTCAGATCTTATTCAGCAAGTATATCCCAAATTCTATATTTTAACTGTAAAAGTTGGGGGTCGTCTTATACACCCAGTCGTCTTATATGCCGGAATATACTGTATATTACAATGAAAAATACTATGCAGGAATAAAAATGGAATATTATGGAATTTTCATAACATATTATGCACTAAATCTTATTAAAATTACATGATAATTCTGCAGGAAATTATTAATATTGGAAATTATGTAGCAATAATCATTTAAATTCATATTTTAGTGAATAAGGGCTTTAAATTAATTTTAGTTTTTATTAAAAAAAAAATTCTTTTAAAATGTATTTTTCAATTCTAACATTGATATTTGTAATTAAATTTATTAATTGAAAATCCCATTTTTCTACCATTATAGTCAATGCAAGTTCCAGCCTTGCCAGTGTTATATGCAAGAATTTTTGGGTGCCCAAACATTCTAATTACTTATTAAAATTAAAATTTATACACAAAATATTACATGAATACTTGCTTAGTTTCTATTAAAACTTACTGCAAAAAATAAAAAAAATGTTATAATTTAAATATATTATCATTTTGTGTTCCTGTTTTTGGCACTCTGTGCAGCTATTCAGTTTGATCATACCTAGAGCCAACTCTGATTACAGAAATACTTAAATTACTTCCTTTCTGGTTTAATGCAATCATCCTGAATATACTTGTATATTTCTACTTTTTTTTCCAATATGGTTCACTGTTATGTTGCCACAAGAATTTCAGTTATATTGTGCATTTTTTGTTTTTAAAGTAATATCATGATAATCAATAAATATNTAGGATGAAGCAAAAAGGAGTTTAATGAGAGCATTAATAACAGGGTAAATAATTTTGTTTCAAAATCAAAATTTTGAAATAAAATTATTAACTTAGTAAATTGATTATTTTAGCATATGTTGCTATAGTGTTAATTTTTAATTTTACAGACCAGAAGGATCACCTTTTTCCAATGGCTGTTTTCAGTTTGATATTTATTTCCCTTCAAAATATCCTGTAAAACCACCTAAAGTTAATTTCAGAGTAAGATATAATGCATATTTTTATTTCAAAACATTGAATTTCAAATTTTTTGTTCCAGTTATGAAATAACTAATTTTTTTCTGTAATAGACAACTGGGAAGAAAAATGTCAGATTTCATCCAAATTTACCTGTGTAAGTAAAAATTTAAAATAATTGCACATAAGTGTAGGAATACGTCCAGCAGGTCTGACAGCAGCTGGATCAATATTTTAAATACAAATACAATTTATGTATATGATAACTTTCAGATATGTAGTATGTTTTATTTGAAACTTTTTCTTTCTCAAGATTCAACTCCTCTGGATATTTGATAGAGATGTCAAACAAACATAAATAATGGCATTCCTCTTTGATTCTCTGTTAATATAATAAGTATTAAAAATAAACGCCTCACTTAAAGAAATCTTACATAAAACTTCTTTAAGTGAGGACTTTACTTTTTAATATTTTTTGTAATTGAGTATTAAATTATGAAACTCTGTATGTTACTTAAAGTATATAAGAATGTCTTTCTATAATATTGTCTCATTGCAATATAATGCAATTTCAAATGTTCTTATGTAAAACTATTTTAAGAAAATTATTAGCATTGGATTTCTAGAAATGTTTTAATAGTTTTGCAGTTGAAATTATATTGAAACTGTTAATTTGTGTGCTTTATTTCTGTTTCTTTTCTACTCCATAAATAATTTTTTTATAAAATTAAGATTATAATACTTTAATATGTAATAGTGATAATATTAATAATAAATAATAGATTAGATGGGAAAAATTCATTTAAATGTTAGGCACATTTCCTAGAAAAGCTGCTTTGTTAAGACAGTTAAGCTATTTCCATTTTAGCTGTTGTAGTGCTAGTGCAGCAAGGTTCACAAGCACAAAAGACAGAAGTTAAGATGACTGCCACCATAAATTATACACATACTATGTACTGTACATTCAAATGAATATTGTGCCATTCAAAAATATATTTTAAACTAGTTATCAGAAAAATTCAAAAAACAGTTTTCCACATAATCTTCTACTCTGACACAAATATAAGGACATAAATCTTAATGTCCTTTCAAATGTTTATGTCAGAGTTAAGACCTCTGTTTGGCAGGAATAAAACATGATAAGGGCATATTTGTGAAGCTTTGCTAATAATATTTACTGTAATACTTAATTATTATTATTATTGTTATTATTACATAATAATAAAGTATTAATTCTACTTATTTCAAAGCAATTTTGAAACTTGATGGCTATTTATATTTTATAATATATATGTTTTATATAATATGGTTTATATTGTAATTAAAAACAGACATAATACATTATATATATAATGTTTGTTTTTAATTAAAATTGTGTTGAAAATTAATTAAAATTAGTTATGTAAATATTTAACACAAATTATCTCAATTACTATCATTATTATTTTATTAATATCAATTGCCTTAAATTTTAAGCAAGTGATAGGATTTCAATACAAAAATATTTTCTTTTACACAAGTACTTATATTTATTGCATGTTATATATTTTCAGAAATGGCAAAGTAATTCACCCATTACTGAACAAAGAAACACAAGATGAATTTTGGCAAGAGAACTGTTCTATATTACAGGTAAAAAAGTAATTCAAATTATCTAAAGCAAAAAAAAATTATTTATAAAAAAAAAATAAAGAAATTTTTATTTATTTTATAACAGTTTGAATTTTTTCAGTTATAAAATATTAGATAAAATTTTACTTGGGCATTCCCTATGGTAACAGGCACAGCTACTAACTACACTGGCATTCAAATAAAACAAATTTCACTCACCATTGACATATTTCTAAAATTTTAAATGATTTTGAAACTAGAATACATGATGTAATAGTTTAAGCTGACTGCGACATCTATTATAACTATTATAAGACTCATGTCGAGATTCAGGAAGTGATGCCATAAGGAATACCTAAGTAAACTTCTACCAAATATTCTAATTTATGATCAAATTATCTTTTAAAAAATTCTATAATCTTAGTACATAAAAAATACTATATGTATTTATGATGAACAGTTGAAATTCATACAATAAGATTATTTGTTTATCAGTATATAAGTTAAAAAAACAATATTCAATTAAACTACAATGGTAATAATATAAAAGTTTATCATTTTAATGCTAAGGCTTATATATCATCAGTAAATAATTATTCTAAATAATTTTCATTTTGTGAGTGGATGTCACTTCTTGGTAATTTTTCTCTATAGCCAAAACTATCAAGAATTAATCATCATGCTTTTACTCTCTGTAGCTTTTATAAGCACTGACCTCTTCAAAAAAAAAACAAATTAAAAGATGATTATTTATTTTTAAAATATTATTTATTGAAAATGTTTGAATTCATAAACAAAATATATGGGAAAAAATCAGTTAATAAAATATAACAACACTTATGACTCCTGTAGTTTATTTTTTTGAACTTACCAAACTACTAATTCAATTGCCTTTTTGTCCTTATTTTATACTATTTTATTATATTATTGTCTACTAAGGACTTATTATACTGGTGTTCCAATTTTTGCAAAAGGAGAAGTTGGAACACCAGTATCACCTGGTATTTCAGGTGAAAAATAAAGATTTGTTTTTTCTGAATAAGAATTTCTCCTTTTGCAAAAATTGGAACACCAGTATAATAAGTCCTTAGTAGACAATATTATAATAAAAAAAATATTACCAAACTACTGTTTATAACTGTCAATAATACAGCTGATGCATTGTAGCATGTGCTGTTATTCATTTCAAACTTAATGATATCTCAATTATTTTTATTTTTATCTTCTATAATAAGTATAGTATTGCTTCACAAAACAGCTTAAACCTTTCTAAATAATATAAACAGTTTCAATTTTTCCTTATGTTAGAATAATTTAAAAGACAGTTGTTATAAACAAACAACTCTACACAAACCTGATACATTATAATCATAAAACCAACCACTGCCATATGCCATCAGGCTATATAACGGCTATATTAGTAATAAATTACCAAACAATTTGACCCTAGAGGGAGGCATTAGGTGCCATCTCGTTATAAATTTAATAACTATAATTTTGATTAAACTGGAAGAAAAGAATCGGTTTGGAGCAGGACTCAAACCTCAAACTTTTCTTCCAGTTTAATCACAATTATAATTATTAAATTTATTACAAGATGGCACCTAACCCCTCCCTCTAGGGTCAAATTGTTTGGTAATTTATTATTAATATAGCCATTATATAGCTTGATGACATATGGTAGTGGATGACTTTGTGACAGTGCCGAAGGGCCCCACTCTATGCTTCGGCACCACAGGACCGAAGGGTCAACATTGCGTCAGCGAAGACGGCAATGACAAATTTATCAGGACTGACACCACTGTGTCTTCTGGGTAGACACAGAGACCATTACGCTCGAATTTACGCGCGAGCAGTCGCGTATGTGGACTCTTAGTTCCGAGATGGAGACGTAAAGAGAGAATCAGAGGAATTACACTCTATAAATTGTATATACATAATGCCCGTTTATTGTTCTATTTAAGCTATATACAATTGATTCAGTTAACATATCTACTTCTTTCCCGATTACCTGTATTTATGAGAGAGAGTTCACATTTAATTCACGCGAGGATAAATACCTTGATATAAGTTGGCAAATAGTCGTTTAGTCCTCGAGTCTCTGTGTGGCACAAAGTTCTTTCGAACGTCGATATTTCTTTAGGCGGTGATTCTCCCGAACGGTGGCGATTAGAATAGTTTCGGGTAGCGGCTAATCCGTTCACGTAAATCCACAGTTCACACCAAACTCCAGAGACTGACTCTTTGCCGCATCGACCCCTCTTTTTATAAAGGGTNTATAATAATATATATATAACAATAATGAAAATTAAATTTTTTATCATGTTTTATTTATAAATGCAGGATTAAACTATAATCTATAAACTATAAATTTTTAAACTTTATCATTAAGGTATTTACTACTATACAATGAAATATGCAATCCTGAAGCAGCTTCATTTCCCACCACCTGGATTTGAAGAGGTTGTAAAAGCACACTTCTACTTGAAGCGTAACAGAATTATAAAGGTATTTTTATTACCTTTGTACAGACAGTATATATATGAAATTATATATATTTTGAATCAAACTTTAAAATTATTTCAGGATGTTGAAAATTGGGCAAAATTAGATTTATCTCTAACTTCAATAGCAGACACAATAAAAAAAGAATTAAAAATTTTACAACCACCTAATGAAGATGTTGCTCAAATGGCTATAGAAGTTTAAATCTGCAATTTTTCTAATCTGTTTGATGTGCCTTGATTCCAGTAGGCATAGATAAATTCTTCAATTATCATTACAGTTCTTCAATGTAAAATAATTCCATTATAAATGTCTTGTTTCAGCAGTTCTGAGCTTATCCAGAAGTTTATTCACTTTCTCTTTAGCTGACATGCAAATGATCAATTTTCATCTTTCTGTGATACTCATTATTAGTCATTTTCCTGTGATCATAAATTATAATAAGAAATTAATTCCTCTGTATTAATAAATCATACAAATAGTTTACATCACACATTTTAGTACAAATAGTTGAATGTTTAAGAGTTAAACAAGACGTGATATTCTAAAAGAATACATTAATTTGTTGTTGTGATTGGAATATGATCACAGTAATGCAAAGCCTGGAATTTCTGTTTGATTTACTATAATAATATTATATATAAATATGGCGATTAGAATAGTTTCGGGTAGCGGCTAATCCGTTCACGTAAATCCACAGTTCACACCAAACTCCAGAGACTGACTCTTTGCCGCATCGACCCCTCTTTTTATAAAGGGGGTTGTCTTTGGGTTTTTCCCACTGCCTCCATCCAATTGTTGTTTTCTTTCGTCTTTTCGTAGATTCCGGGTGACACATTGGATGTATCATCCTCATCTCGGAATTAAGTTCATGGGAAAAAAGTTTTATGTTCTTTTTAAATATCGGTTTGTTGTTTATTTCTCTAAACTGTTCTTCGTAAAAAATATTTAACAATTTATTCCAATAAGTTTGACTCTCACAACTTTATGACAGTTATTATAACTGATATATCTTTTCATTGTTAGACAGACAGGAATTGCTGCAAGGTACTAATTGCTCTAATATTATGCTTATTGAAGAAATGAGATGATAATTACTTCAGATTTATAAATAAAAATCATTTATAATTTTAATTTTTTCCTTATGTATAAAAAGTTAATCACTAAATTTTAATTAAGTTATTTTATCCTTTATTTTGTGCATATAACCTGCAATTTGCTGTGGGAGTATAATCCACAGAAAATTGCTACAATAAAAAATAAAACTTTCTGATAACCTGCCCTACTGTTTACTCCATGCCTGCGGGAGCAATCATTGCTTCTTAAGTGTAAGTTCATTATTACAATTTAAAATTGGTGTATAATCTCGTCTTAAACACCAGATAACCTGTTATATACACAAGAATATGGTAAGACAAGATGTTATTGTTAAATTTAAGTTATTGACTTAATATGTAGATTCACTCTACAGAACTATTGACTTATTCATGTAGCACTGAGAATGTATTTGAACTTGTTCAGTGATATGAACTTATTTGGTGAGATTATTTATTGAATCACATGATAACTTTGAATATGTTCATTTTGCTACATAGATAATCCAAGACTAAATACCAGTTCTTAGTTTGCATTTCACTACAATGTAAACAATTTTAGATTAAGTTCAATATCTTGTATAACAATTTATAAAGTATCCATGGTAAACTTCAAATTTATTATTATTATTATTATTTTGCATTCTACTTTTTATGTTTTAAAATATTACATTTTAAAGAAGTATCTTATTGCATAATATTACACAGCAATCATGAGCTTGATAATATCATAGTTGACATAAAATTNTATCATGTTGGAAACACAATTAATTAAGGAAATTACAACTGGTCATTTAAAAAAGGTACCATCTGAGAGAAAATTGGAATGTTAACTTATATAAAGTTCACATAACTTATGGCTTTTCAAGGAAAATTTTGAACTGTTCACTTAAATGAAATATATCAAGATTATTATTATCCCTAGAGTTCTAACAGATCACAGCACAACTTATGTTATTCGGGCCTAGTCCCTTCATTAGCACATCTGCAGGCATGTCAGCTCCAGCTAAGTGTTCTAATTTAACACTGTTGGATTTTATCAAGTCTTCCACAAAATGCAGTCCAATATCAATATGTTTAGCCTTCCTAAAATTTCCTTTGCTGTTCACAATGCAAATACTGCAGCTCCACAATTATCTGAATGGATTAAAACATTCATCTTCTCCTCGTGCACATAGGAACATTATTGACCTCAATTAAATCTGGCAATAGATTTCTAACCCTTTCTTAGATCTGGATTTGTCAATAATATTTACATATTAAATATGATCTATTGAGAGCAACTTGGTATTGTTAGAAATGTGTGTTAATGTGCATGAAATTCATAAACTTTTTAATATTTTGATTTTATTTTAACTATTATTTTCTCATCAATGAATGAAACAGCTTTATATTTTATATAGGTGTGCGCTTCTTCAAGTGAATCTTAATTAAATTGAGATGTCTGTATTTACAACCAATAATCAAGTGTTAGAATATTACTTTTAGTACTGTAGATGCTTATTGGTTAACTTCAAATTCTAGATTCTTCTTTTTCAAATATAACCATAAATCCAGTTCTTTGCAACTCAGAGAAGCTTTATGGTATATATTACATTAAACAAAAATATATAACTTTTTTCTATGTATTTGTCCATAGACTTTTCAAGTTGTCATTTCTGAAATCTTATATCAGTAAAATTTGGAATTATATATTCTAAGAATTTTATATATAAAATTCAGAATTTTTAACATGGTAAAAATTTTCCTGAGAATATGGAAAGACAGATGTTTTTAAATTGTAACATCAGAACCAATTGTTTCATAATTTATTAAAAATTTTAGACATGTGTGATACAATATGGAGTTGTTTGGAAGAGTAGCTAAAGTAGTTGAAAATATTAAACTGTGAAATGTTCACCTAAAAATCTGAAAGAGCCATAATATTTGAATGTTTTTAATCTAGAAAACACAAAATAGTTTTAAAAAAGCTATAAAATATAATTATTAAAGTAAATAACTAAAAAATAAAAAGTTTTTAAATTTTATCATCTTCATTTGAAATTATTGAACATAAAAAAGAATATATTTTGTTGTGACTTACATATTAATATTCTAATATTAATTATATATACATTTTCAACTTAAAAAAGATTTCATATAAAGTATTTTGTATCCATAAAAATTCTTAAAATACTCATTTTTTTTAAAATTCTTTATCCATAGTATACTCAAAACAGACTTTAAAAACCTGAAAGCATTTATAAGTAAGAACTGCTGGTTTTTTTAAAATATTCTCTTTTTCATTAATATACTGTATATATTTATGTTGCTATCTAAATTCTGATTTATTGATTTCCAAACTTCAATTATTTTAATTTTTCCTTCTTTTTTAAACCTTAGCAAATGTATCACAAAATTTTTTTGATTCAACATTAGCATCATTTCCAATTATGCATATACCCTTATTTAAATTATTTTTTGTCTTTAATCTTTAAATTTAATCCTGAAACTCTCTTATCAGCCATATGTTTCATTGTTGTTTGGTATTCTAATCTTATAAACATTGTATTAATATATTGAAATATTGAAACCAAATTCTGAAATTCTTAAGCCAATCTAAAAGAATAAGATGACCAGAGCTCCCACTTATCCTACTTTCTATTAGCATGCCACGTTTTTCTTACTCTTTGAATGTGGAATGAATATATATATATATTTCTTTGTTTTTTGGCCATTCATTTTCAAAAATTCTTTATAGACTTGTGTTTTCAAAATGGTATAGCTGTTTTTCATTTTTATTGTTGTCCATATCTCACAGAAATACATCAACTTTACTGTGTATTGTAACACTATATAATAGGAATTTTAAAGCCAAATGAGATTGCTGGGGGTTATGTTGAAAAAATGCACCCAGATTGCTTTCAAAATGTGGCTACACCCAAACAATGGAAGGAGTTAGATCTTGAGGACAGTCACAAAAGAACAGAACGCATAAAATTATTAAGAATATTCAACTGGAGGATCATTGTTGCAGATAGAAAGCTGGAGAAAAATGTGCAGCATAGAATCTCAGACTCACAGTGCTAAGAAGATAATGATGATGGTTGATAATTTCTTGATGATTTACAAGAAAAAAATTCCTTCTTTTGACGAGTCATGGTTCCTTGCTTTATATATGGTGAATAATAATTAATTTATTCATAACTACAAATAACAAACTGGCTGCTGCTATAATGTGACAAACACAATTGCTTTTTATCTCCCAGTTCCTGGACTTCTAGAAAACTTTTGCATTATTACTATTTAAATTTATTTACTTAACTTCCAAAAATAAAATATGACAAGAGGAAATTAACCAAACACTTATTATCATGTTGGAAACACAATTAATTAAGGAAATTACAACTGGTCATTTAAAAAAGGTACCATCTGAGAGAAAATTGGAATGTTAACTTATATAAAGTTCACATAACTTATGGCTTTTCAAGGAAAATTTTGAACTGTTCACTTAAATGAAATATATCAAGATTATTATTATCCCTAGAGTTCTAACAGATCACAGCACAACTTATGTTATTCGGGCCTAGTCCCTTCATTAGCACATCTGCAGGCATGTCAGCTCCAGCTAAGTGTTCTAATTTAACACTGTTGGATTTTATCAAGTCTTCCACAAAATGCAGTCCAATATCAATATGTTTAGCCTTCCTAAAATTTCCTTTGCTGTTCACAATGCAAATACTGCAGCTCCACAATTATCTGAATGGATTAAAACATTCATCTTCTCCTCGTGCACATAGGAACATTATTGACCTCAATTAAATCTGGCAATAGATTTCTAACCCTTTCTTAGATCTCACCTCAAAATCATACTCCTGTAATTCAAATACCATTTATCCTAATTTCTTCCCTAGGGTTCTCTTGTTTTACACACAAGTGACTGACTAGTTATCTGTCCACATGGCAAATTTTTACCAAGTAATGTCAATAATAAATGCCTAAATTTCTCACACATTGCCAGCATACAGCAATTCCTTCTAATTCTGTGGAATGGAGGACCTTTTCTCCTTCACTCAAACTCTGACTTGCATATTCGATTATTACTTTCGTTTCTCTTTGAAACTGAATCAAAACTGCACTAAAGCCTGGTATCAGTATGTACTTCAGTTTCTGCTTCAGGTTGGAAATGAGCTAAAATTGGCTCTCTCGTCAAGCATTATTTTAACTGTGTAAAAGGTTTTTTTTTATCTCTTCATCCCAAACAAATGGAATGTTTTCTTTAAAAAGTTTTCTTAAAGGAGCTAGAAGTTTAAAAGTTTTCTTAATTTTACCACTCAGTATGCTAGCATACTGAGTGGTAAAAATGTCAATAATAGGACATTAAGCTACAAAAAGAATGTAGTCCTTTCTTGTCCAAAGGATGGTTTAACATTTGCACTGCTCTTCATCTTTCTGGGTCTCTTTGTTTACATTTTCATCAATTAGGTAACAAAGGCATCTAAATTGTCTTTTCCCCACTGACATTTTGTTTCTGATATCTTTAGATGTGCCTCTTTAAATCTT